AAATAGAAAGTTCTGTTTAGAGATAGAAATCTTAACTGAGAAGATGGAAATAGTTTCAGCTTCTTATTATAGGAGACCCAATTCTCCATTATTTACATGATTAATATAATGGATTTATAGATATGAAAGTCAAAGAGTCATAAATTAATTTTTAAAAAAGAGTCTGCATTTTATTTAAGGTCCTTCAAATTGGAAGTCAGAAGCAAAGTGTACAGAGGAGTTTTCTCCTGAGAAGAGGAAGGGCCAGACTCTTCTAAATGCATTCACTTTTCTCCTTTTCCTCTTGTGTTAATATTAGGAAGTCCGCAGAGATTAAGATAACGTGGAACAGTTTCACTAATTATGAGATCGGTGCATCGAGCTCTCAAGGCCATGCAAGAGTGAATAATTAACCAGTGCCTCCAACTTTTCTACGTGCAGGTCCCAGCTGGGCTTCATACCTGTATCTCCTCCCCACAAAGTCACCATATCCATCAGGGGATCCATGCCCGAATCTGCCTTCCTGTCAGTCCTGAGAATAGAGGCTACACCCTCACCATTTACCAGGCGGGTGAGGGCAGCGGATCCAAATTCCTAGGTTATGACTCAGCAGAGACACAGCACAGACAAGTGAGTACCCAGGGAGACTATGGAGCATCTTGTTTCCTCATTATCAAGACAAGCAAGAGTATGGAGATAGCCAGATGGGAGGGCATCACTATGCAAAGTGTCAACTGAGAGGTCAATGAAGTTTGTTCTTTTTTCTGTTGGAGATTTCAGAACTCTCATTCAGAATTCTGCTCTCCTCTACCACAATTTCTAGCTTTCATAGGCATCGCCCTCACCAGAGCAGGAAATAGGTCTCTCTAAACCATCCTGTAAGCACTCCAAAATGATCATGAATTTGATGATTATGGTCATGATGGTGACGAGGAGAATACCATTACATCATAAAACTTTTTTGAGGGTTGCGTTGTGACAGGCTCTGATCTATGTGCTATGTAGCTTTTTAATTTTCATCTGCATAATCACCCTCGAAGATATAGGTGCACACATTATCATTATTTTACAGGTGAGGAAAGGAGCACAGTATTCTATTTGATTTGTACCAGGTCCTGGGATAAAAAGGGGTGAAGTCAGGTTTGGATCTGAGCAATGAGACTCTATTCACAGGGCACAGGACAATGTCTTTCCATACAATTTAGATTCATAGGGGTATTGAGCATTTGAAATGTGGCTTCTCCAAATTGAGATGTGCTGTGAGTATAAAATACCACATTTTGAAGATGTACAAAAAAGGAATGTAAAATATCTCAATTTTGTATATTGGTGAAATTATAATATTTTTTTGGTATAGTGGGTTAAATAAAATTTTAAAATACAATAAACAAAAGACCCAACCCACCTACTCAACCTTTCCTTTCTCTTTCCAGGTCACTCCAGGCAGAATGCTTGTGGGGAAATGACTGAGTCTCACTCATTTCTGATTTCCCATCACCTACATTGTGGTTGTCACAGTGTAGGCAAACAAAACTATATACATTTATTTTATATATATATATATTTATATATATATACATATATATAAATCTCTGTAAATATTGATTACCCTTTGTTAGTTCACAGGAACACAGCATAGTCAATATGGCTTCCACACACTGGGCTTTCCTGCCATGGTTTTCATCTCTTCTAGGGGTGACCTGTAAGACTAAAGAAATGAAGGAGATGGGTTATTTCCCTCCAAGCACTCTTCCCAGAGTGACAAATTAATCAAACCTGAGGAGGGGGTCACGGGGACCTCTGATTTGTAGCCATGTTGGACACAAGTTATGGGTAACCTGGGGGACTTCCCTCTTATGATTAGCATCTGAAGTGGGAGCAGTCTTGTGGGACTGAGCCCTTAATCTGCGGGATCTGAGACTCCAGGTAGACAGTGTCAGAACTGAATTAAATTGTACGACACAGCTGGTGTCATGGAGAATTACTTGGTGTGGGGAATAGCCCCACATCTGGTGAACAGAAATGTCAGAAGTGAAGACTTCTGTGTGTGCAAGTAAAGGAGAGAGAACAGGAGGTGAAAAAATGGGTAGGTTTTTGCTACACAAGGCTAAAGATTAATTAAATTTAGTCAGCATGTCCCTGCCCACTATGGGATTTTTTAGGGCAATGGGTGCTATCACAAAGGGGAATTCAGACAAGACAATAGTTCCAATGGTGAAGGGAAAGCATACCGTTTGTCCTCTCTTTTTATGTTCAAGAACATCCCTCAGATTATAGAGGGTACCTTGTTCAAATTTAGTGGGATCCCCAACTATTGCTGTAATCTGAGCCCCAGTATTGATTGAAAATATGAAGGTTTTCCTTCATTTGCAGTTCATTTCAGCAGATATTAAAGTTAATTCAGAACCTATATTGAAGAGATGCAAAAGCTCATCTGTGCCCTTTCATTTTTTGTTCTGTATATTCTTTTAGTAAATTTTAGACTTCCAACTGGGTCAAATTGTATACCTTCTTTCAGTTTTTTGTTTCCTCTCTCATATTCAGGTTTCTTTTTTTCCTTTTCTTTTTTTCTTTTTATTTATTCTTTTTTTGTCTCTGTATATATGTCAAGGGAGGCCCTCTCTATCCTGCTCATATTTAAAAATTTCTTTCCAGAGAGCCTCAAAGCAGTATCTTCAGGGTTAGGGACTTCCTCCATGATAACATTGGTTTTATGCGGTTTATATGCCCTGTGCTTAAATGAGGTTTGAATTAATCCCTTCACTGTGGTACAGTGGTGTCATGTGTGTTTCTCCCTATAACCATGAGGATCTAGATTTTTGTTGTGACAAAGGCATGGGGAGACAGTAGTAGCAGAGGTATTTAAATATCCTGGTCTATTTTTAGGAGTGCAGACCTCAGCATGGCACACAATGGCTGCCACCTTCTTCTTACTCTCCTTCTTCTCCTTCTCCTTCCTCCCTCTCTCTCTGTCTCCCTCTCTCTCTCTTTCATTTTCCTAAGGACGACTCTTTCATGAGGAACCATCCAATGGACCTATATTTTGCTCAGGGTATACTCTTTCCCCTCAGCACCAAAAGGGCCAATCCCTGGTTGAAACATACAAACAATCAGGATAAGAGTCTTTCTCATGACCCTAGCATCAGTCACAGCTTCATTCCAAGACATACAGATAGGTCTGGGCTGAGACAAAAACCTCAGGGCCACTTTAAGGAAGAACCTAATCCTGTACTCTTGTCTCTAATAGCCAAGTAATCGTTGCAACATCTAAATTAGATAAGTTATATCTATCAGAGAGGATTGGAAAGACTCAACAAATGCAGTACAATGTAACGCAGTGCCAAGCGCAGACTTCTAGCAGGCGGTAGCTCAAAGTGCATGCTTGTCATCAGGCAGCAGAGCCAGGGAGCAAGTCAGAGCAAGACCAGGAAGACCTCTGAGGTCATTGTCTCAGTGTCCCAGTTGCTGCATCAAGTTTAGTGGACGCTCTGCTGAAGTAGAATGCACTCCCAACCAAAACTTGCTTAGATGTCAATGTTGATAATGCCTCAACACACAAGAGGGTATACCAAATTTTATTCCTCTTATAAAGATCTCCCTGTCTGAGGAGAGCCCAGCAGGCCTTCTAAGCTGCTCTGAAATGACCCAAGAGTTCAAGGAAAGTGGTTGTCTTGCATTTTTTTTTTTTATTGTGGTTACAGTGTGAGTTCACAGTGAGAGTTCCTGCATATGTACATGGGCTTGTGAGGTTTGAGTCTCTTGTTGTCTCCAAAGGAGGGAGGATGCAGGCTTTCTTTTTTTCTTTTTAATTGAGTTATAATTGACATAAAACAGTATGTTAGTTTCGGATGTACAATATAATGATTCAATATTTGTATATATTGTGTAATCACCACAATGTCTAGTTAATATCTGTCACCATATGTAGTTATAAACCTTTTTTGTTGTGATGAGAACTTTTATTTTTATTTTTCTATTTTTTATTTTTTTGTGTGTGAAGAAGATCAGCCCAGAGCTAACGTCTCCCAATCCTCCTCTTTTTGTTGAGGAAGACTGGCCCTGGGCTAACATCCATGATCATCTTCCTCTACTTTATACGCAATGCCGCCACAGCATGGCTTGACAAGCGGTGCGTCTGTGCACCTCCGGGATCAGAACCAGTGAACCCCGGGCCACCGCAGTGGGGAGCTTGCACTTAACCACTTGCCCACCAGGCCAGTCCCCGACGAGAACTTTTAATACTCTCTTAGCAACTTGCAAATATACAATATGGTATTATGAACTGTAGTCACTGTGTTGTGCGTTACATCCCCAAGACTGATTAATTTTACACCTGGAGGACACCGGGTTTTTGATCAGCTACCCTGGATGTTGGGCAGAAGGGGAAGAGAGAGAGATGTGACTTAAAAACTGTTAACTGCCAAAAATCACACGCAAAAAATGGAGTCGGAATCTATATCACATATTTCTTATAGGATGTTTATAATAGTCATAATCAAGGTAATTAATTGCCCTGCATTTGCATAAAATAAAGTCCTTTTGACTGTTTATTAGTGTCCTTTAATTAAAACAATTTTCTCCTTAAGGGAGAGGATATTTCTTATTCTTTTTGTTTCCTTCAGAGAAGGGAACTGATATGTTAGTGCGTGTATGGATTTTTAAAATCTCTAAATATCCCTGCTAATTTCTTTAGCCCATTCTTTGCAAAGTGGATGCACATAGAAACCAGTGAATGTAGCAAAGCCAAAGAGAAAAGAGTTCTGAGAAGAATGCATTTGCCACAACTAAGAAATATTGCTAAAGGTGTATGGTCCTCAAGCGTGAATACTTTATTTATGAATTGCTTCAATTCAAAATATAGACACACTGCTGGGTACTGGTATATTTGTTTCCTCTATATCAATGCTCATTTATTTTCCAAAAGGTGTCCCTGCTATGTGGAACCACAGAATCTGACAGGTGTCTTGGAATTCCGCCTCCTGGGGCTCTCAGATAATGCAGAACTGCAGCCTCTAATCTTTGCTCTGTTCCTATCCATGTACCTGGTCACCATGCTGGGGAATCTGCTCATCATCCTGGCTGTCAGCTCTGACTCCCACCTCCACACCCCCATGTACTTCTTCCTCTCCATCCTATCCATGGCTGACATTGGTTTTACTTCTACTACAGTCCCAAAGATGATTTTGGACATTCAAATTCATGGCAGAGGGATCTCCTATGTGGGTTGCCTGATTCAGTTGTCTTTTTTTAACCTTTTTGGATGTTTGGACAGTGTACTCCTATCTGTGATGGCCTATGATCGGTTTGTAGCTATTTGTCATCCCTTGCACTACCCAGTGATCATGAACCCCCGCCTCTGTAGCCTATTGGTTCTGGTGTCTTTTTTGATCAGCCTTTTGGACTCCCAGCTGCACTGCTTAATGATGTCACAACTTACTTTCCGCACAAACGTGGAAATTCCTCATTTTTTCTGTGACCCCCCTCAACTCCTCAAGCTTGCCTGTAATGATCCCTCCACCAATAAAATATTAATGTACACTATTAGTGCCATCTTTGGTGGTGTACCAGTCTCAGGGATCCTTTTATCTTATACACGAATTGTTTCCTCAATTTTGAGAGTCCCATCAACAAGCGGAAGGTACAAAGCCTTCTCCACTTGTGGCTCTCACCTGTCAGTTATTTGCTTATTCTATGGAACAGGCCTTGGGGTGTACCTCAGCTCGACTGTCTTACATTCTCCCAAGAAGGATGCGGTGGCATCAGTGATGTACACTGTAGTCACCCCTATGCTGAACCCCTTCATCTACAGCCTGAGGAACAGGGACATCAAGAGAGCCTTGCAAAGGTTCCTCAGAAGAACAACCTAGTCTCAATCCTTGGGCCTTTTCCCCGCTCTGTGTTCTGAGTTTTAGAAATGATTGCAAACCAAACAGCTGGAATCGGCAAACATGCCTCTTTGGTCACATAACTTTTGTAGCTCACAGTTTTCATTCCACTTGATTTATCATATCTGAAAATCGCATATCTTTGATGGGATTGAGGGAATATTCTGGGATCCTATGTATGTCAAAATCACTTCACAATTGAAATCTATTACATCTATTGAATTTCCTGTATTTTTCACCTATGAGCCAGACATCCTGTAGAAATTCAGAACTCTCTTTTAAATATATATATAAAATTCTCAACCATTTCACTGCTCATGTATATTTTCCATAGAACTTTGGCTTTGATTAAATCTATTGATGCAGGTTGTGTGAGAGAATATCACTGGTCCTCAATCTTGGCTTCATACCAGAAGAATGTGATGAGCTTTAAAAATTCTCATGCCTAAGTCCCACCACCATAGACTGAGATTTAATTGGACTGCAGAGTGAAAAGTGTATGAACAGTTTTAACAGCACCCCAGGTGGGTCTAATATGAAGCCAAGGTAGAGAGCTATTGAATTTTGTCAGACCTTTTATTCAAAGATGACTTGTATGTCTTAGGTCCTTTACTGTTCATGATCACATCCTGAAGATTTTAAAGTGATCAGAGGTAATAAAGGAGAAGATACAAAAGAACTTACCATAGTAACAAGCAATGTGAATTTTCTCATATTCTTGGTAACATTTTTTCACATATATTCTCCCTCCACATTCTACATATGTGCTGGTTATTAAGCTATTGTTTTTCTGCTCCAAAGTCACACTGCTATACTTTAATTTGTGATGCTGGAGTAGCGGGAGGATCTTTAAACTACTGCTCTGATTTTCCATCTGGTCTTTTTTTTTTTTTTAGGTTCTTCCAGTAGGGGTCAGTAAATGTCATCATGCCCATTAAGCCCAACAGTATCCTTGTATCCCTTAGCCTATGGCATGGTCACTTCCTGGAGTTCCATCTTTATGTTACCACCTTTTTCTTTTATGGCTTTCATCTTTCAATAGTTACTTAATCAATTACTTTTATTAAATTGTCTTCACTCAAATAACTAATGTGCTTTCTTTTTTTCTTTATTGAACACTGACTGATAAATCATACAGGAGGAAAAAGGTATGCAGTGAGATTTTGTATTTGGAAGTTTGTAGAGTGAGCTCGGGAAAAAAAAGGTGATTGTAATGATATGTCTTGTCAAGGGTATACAATTGATGTTTAAAGTAGTGGTATGATGTTTCCAGTTCCTCTGTTGTTCTCATTGTGTCTGCAGATGGTTAAGTCACCCAAGTAATTATGAATAAATTTAACTTTTTCTAATTTTCATTACTCCAGGATAGAAAAGGGCCATGTTCTCAGCTAAAGGGAGAACTTTCCTTTCATTAGTAACAGCCTCTTTAGGATTCCACTTTGCAACCATGCTTCCCTGTCTTCTGTCATGATCAATCTGTCTTTGGGCTTCTTCTCTCTTGTGCAACATAGCCAGGTACCGATATACATATCAATCTGCATATCAATATTTCCTTTAGAGATGCTACACATAGTTTCTGAGGTAGCAATCTGGACTCTCTGAAAGGCTTTCCATTAACTAGTTTAATTCACTCTGTCTTTTACCACTAAGCTAAATCACCTACCAAGTTCACCAATAATGAACTTTGAAACTCAAAGTGTGCTTTAACCTGGATGCCAAAGCAAAGATATTATCATTTTTGCAAATGTCACCATTCATAATTTAAGCGCTGAGACTTAATATCCTTTATGTTTATGCTCCAAATCTAGCACAGTGAGGGCAGAAACTAGGCACACTTTTACTTTGTATAATGTTGAATAAATCATTCCCTCTTTTACTAGAAAAAGTGAAAATATTTTTAATCCACATATCCAGCATTTCCTTTCCTCCCAGGACCACTGGACCTTCTGTAGAGTGCTCTAAAATCTCCTGAGAGAAGAAATGTATCATTGGTTTATTTATATTAGCATGAATTTTAAATAGGATCTTTTTTTCCCCATCTAATAGTACGCACAAGATTAAAAGTTACAAAATAAAGTGTGGGCTTATAACTTCTACAAATAATACAGGGATAAAAAATTGAGGATGGAAATCTCTCAAATGGACATTAAAAAGAGAATACAAGAAAGTGTTCATATTTCTGTTTCATTCAAGAATACGCATCATAGCAGGAAGGGGGGTTTGGGAAAAACACAAAACAAATCACTCACAAACATGTCTTTGGTTTTCATATCATGTCTTCTAAACCCATTTTGGCAGTGACCCTAATAACTAAAACGTCTCACCAGTCACCTCTCCTCTAATCCCTCTTAAACCCATGACATTTGATCATTTGGTCTCCCCCAGATTCTCCTCTGTCATTAATGCACACACACATACTTAGCATCATTTCTCTTATGGCCAGCTCAATAGGATAAATATTCTAGCTTTCTACATATGGTTAATGAGAAATCAGTCTCTGAGTTCCTAATACAGAGAACTACACGCCAGGAAGACTGTGAAGATAAGATGTAAAAGGTTGCAACAGACCATCTCCCACACATCCGACTTTATAAGCCAAAAGCACATGATATCAAAGACTTCAACACAAAGATTCTAAAGAAACCATATTTAGAGAGAGATGAACCCTCTCTAGAGGAGCTGAAATCAGAAGTTTGTTGAATTTGGGCACTGAATAGCTATGGCTTGCTCTGACATCAATGGACATGAATGACATTGGTGTAAGACAAACTAGAGCAATTTCTGACTGTATGGCCAGGAGTGGCATGGTGGGATCTGCAGATGTACCCAAAACAGAGCAAATTCTTCCATGTGCCAGTTTTTCTCCAGGAAATTTTTCCTGAAAAGATGATGGTGTGATGGGTTGAAGATGCTGCTGGAAACCAGAGGAACGTCTCCATCATCTGACTCTTTTTAGAGTCAACTGTCCTGATAGAGGGTGAGGCCTGTGTGGTGGGTAGCTTCAAAGATGCTCCCAAATCCTCCTGCTGTATATATTCACACCCTTGGATATACCCATCTCCTTGAGTGTGGGATGGACATAGGGTCTTACTTCCAATGAATAAAATTTGGAAATATATGGGTTGCCCCTTCCAATATTAATGTGTAGAAGGATTCATCTTTCATCCTGCCGGCTGTCTCACCAGCTGGATCTGATGGAAGCTGGCTGCCATGTTGTCAACTGCCTGATGGAGAGGCCCATCTGGCAAGAAACTAAGGGAATCCTCTGGCCCTCAAGCAATTGAATCCTATCAACTGCCATGTAAGTGAGCTTGGGATCAGACACTCTTCCAGTCAAGCCTTGAGATGACTGCAGCCCTGGCCTACATTTTAAATGTAGACATCTCTGAGACCACTTGAAGTATTTAAGCAAACT